AGCCTCGTACAACACGAATTTAGAATACTGTACATTAATATGTATAAATCTCTCTCTCTCTCTCTCTCTCTATATATATATATATATATATATATATATATATACAGTGTAACCCGGATATAAGAGAGTTGTCGGGACCGGAGAAGAAGTCTCTTATATCCGGGTTTCTCTTATATCCGGGTTTGGTCTATTTTATATACATTAACACAGGCTCTAATTTGGGACCAGAGAAAATCTCTCTTATATCCGGGTTTCTCTTATATTCGGGTCTCTTATATCCGGGTTTACACTGTATATATATATATATATATGAAGAAATATTGTCTTAGGCGCTATATTTATGGGATAAAGTGGTCAATATCAGAGATAGTGCATGTGCAAATATAAAAGTGAACATAGAAGCCAACACTTAGAGGCGACAGTCTGTTTCATGCTAGATGCAATTGTCAGGCCACCTGACGATTGCATCTAGCATGAAACAGACTGTCGCCTCTACGTGTTGACTTCTATGTTCGCTGTTATATATATATATATATATATATATATATATATATAAACCAGATATAACTAAAAAATATACATCTGTAAAAAGACAATATGAAGAAAGGCAAAAGAAAAACTGTTATTAACCAACGCGTTTCGTCCACTGATGGACTTTAGCAAAACAAATGTAAGGGGTATTTATAAACAAAAGTAAAGTCGTTAGGTTTTCAATTTTTTTTAATTTAAAAAGGCTCATCAATGTACATCAGGCTAACTGAAAGTCAAGGCAAATTATGGAGGATGCTAAGTGACATAATTTAGTGATGTAATGACGTGCTTAAGATTTTTTCTATGACTGTTAAATTAATAGAAAAATGCAATGATTTTATATAGCAACAAGTATTTGTAAACAGAAGTAAAAATGTTAAAAAGTTTTAAAAACTAAATATATATCTTATTCTATGTGCAGTGTCTCTTCAAAACGTGGGCGATCATGGTTCTCCACAATTTCCTCTCCCTTGTAGCTCTTAGCTATGTCTGTATTTTTGTCCTCTCTTCGAATCTTTGTTCTGACAACCATTTACAAAAGGTCATTTGGTGCCTTCCTCTGGCCCATTGCTTTCACCATGTCTTGTGATAATTAAATTTCTGTTTCCAAGCCCTCTTTACTCATTAGAAATTTATTTCAATTGTCTTTTTCTGATTCTAAATATATGCACCCGTTTTGTTTTCATCTTACTTATTATAAAACGCAGATGGTGTGTGTGTGTGTGTGTCTGTGTGTGTGTGTGTGTGTGTGTCTGTACGTTTATATATTGGATTGAATTTCCTACATTCTTTGTTTTTGCACGAAATCAATTTGAAAACACGATTAAGAGGCATCACTTGCCAGGATGAAAGGGGGACAACTCATATCGAGTTATACTAATAAAACCCAGGTTGTGTGTGTTCGTTTATATATGGGATTGGATTTCCTACATTTTTCAACCGATTTCAACAAAACTTCACTTTTTTTTGGCAGATAGTGTTTCTTATTGTCTTGCACACTTTTTTCTTTATTTTTACATTCAGAATGCTTTAGAAATTCCATTTACAAGACAATTGTTAATAATAAAATTCTTTTCAATCGGTAAACTCATAATGATTGAAAACAATGTTTTTGTTTGAGTTTGGGTTTGACCAACTCGTAAAAAAAAAAAAAAACTAATTAAGACATGCGTGTCCGTCAACCTTAAACAACAATCTTTGTCAATTTTATTTTTCAGTCTTTATGATGGTGGATACTTGATCTATCTCTTACTGTTACATCCCCGGGCAACGCCGGGCTCTACTGCTAGTAGATAATATACGAGGGTCATTCAATAAATAAGGTGAATTTTTCGGTATAAGAACTTCTAATACAGATAAAAGCTTACTTTTTTTTGTTTTACTTCTTTTTCACATGGATCTAATTTCTTTTGCAGATTAAAAAAAACAAACTTTGAGAGTTTTGGCGATTAACAAAGATGGCCGACCAAGAAGCATGCTCCAGGATTGAACAGCGGTCAGTTATCAAGTTTTTGGTTGCTGAAGGGTGTAAACCAGTTGAAATTCATAGGAGAATGTCAACTGTGTATGGTGCCACATGTTTCAGCCAAAAAAATGTCTACAAGTGGGCTAAATTGTTTAAAGAAGGACGGAGCAGTGTTGAGGATGAAGACAGGCCTGGGAGGCCTACAGAAGTGAGGTCTCCTGAGGGGATCGAATCAGTCAATGACCTCATTCAGTCTGACAGAAGAACTACTGTGAACTGCTGAGGCAGGTCAAGAAAGACAAAGAACAAACGCAGGGGTCATCAGTCAGAAGGAGTCATCTTGCATCATGACAACGCAAGGCCTCACACAGCAGCCCAAACGGTGCAGACCATCAACAAGCTGGGCTGGGAACTGCTCCCTCATCCCCCTTACACCCTACACCTTGCCCCTTCAGACTTTCAGCTGTTTGGTCCCTTGAAAGCGTTCACGAGAGGCACGAAGTTTAAAAGTGACGATGAAGTCAAAAGTGTTGTGAGCGACTGGCTGAGACATCAGTCCAAAGATTTTTATGCTGAGGGAATACGGAAGCTTGTGCACAGATGGGAAAAGTGTGTGACAGTGCTGGAAGACTACGTTGAAAAATAAAAAAAAGTAAGCTTCTATCTGTATTAGAAGTCCTTATACCGAAAAATTCACCTTATTTATTGAATGTCCCTCGTATATTTATTTCCTACTCTAAACATTATTTACACTGTTTTTATAAACAGTATAAATGACTTCTACCGGGGTCTGCGCATTCGAGAGTATTAACAAAGAAAGCGCGCGCGTGATGCCCGTAAAATAACTTTTGGCGTAGTAGTAAATAATGTCGGATAAGAAATTCATTGATTCCTGGACAATTAAAAATAATGTGCAGATATGTGTTTCCGAGAAAATCTGAACGACTTGATGCGCATTCTTCGAAATTGTAGTTAAACCTTGGATGTGATGTTCTCTATCGCCGAGCGGTCTATACTACGCCGTATCAGACGGCGTTTTTTTTTCCAACAAAAGAGGATGCACACTATTTACATTATTCAGACTATTGTCCTTATCTTTGTTGCCATATTTATCACAACAAAAAATTGCAATATGAGCACTCGTAAAAATGATTGCTGAAGACATTAAGTTTATAACTCCCAGAAATTAAGGACACATGACACAGTGGATAAAGGCGTTGGTTAGATCCAGTGACAGGACCCAAAGAGTGTGAGTTTTAATACCTGGTTAAGGAGGTGGAGAACTTGGAGAGGTGAATTAACAGGAGATAACTGATAACTGACATCCATTAAACATGGCACGTGGAACGAGAACAGTCTACCCCAGTGAGCGAAATAAAGGGTTCAGTTCGACATTCCAACCACCTGAAGAATGTCAGAGCGTACAACGGCCGAAACATTGTAATAAATATGCCGACAAATATAAGGACAATAGTCCGAATAATAGTGTACATAATACCTCATCTCAGAAATATAGATAGATACTAAAAGAGGTTGCAGGTTCGATCTCTAGTGGATAGTACATTGTCTTTATTAAGTTTCCGACTGCATAAATTTATATGAGATTTTACTGTTGAACTAGCCAGATGCAACCGCCTGTTCTATTCTGATAGTTTCTTTTCTTGCACTTCTCGCCCGTGGAAATCTCTTCCAATTTTTTGTTTGCTTGTCAACTACAATGTTCAAAAATTTAAATGGAACATCTGTCTTCTGTCATCCTGAACCCTGTTCTTTTATTGTCCGTTTCTTCACTCACTAAAGTCATGTCGTCTTTCACTTCCAGTAAACCTTTGCGTCTAGTGGCATAATTACCTTGTTTGGGTTTAAACGATAAAAAAGATTTAAAAAAGATTAATTTTAAATTAAAGTTTCAAATTAATAGTTAAAATGATTATTGTTATGGTCCGGTTCCTTGTACGACGGTGATAGTCCAAAGTAGAACCAATAAAGAAGAACTCGAACACAGGTATGGAATAACACAGATATATTACAAACAGGAATATATACAGAGAAGTAGAAAGTGTTAGTACGAACAATCAGGTTTAGTAGGGAGAACAATGTAGTCTCGACCAGTATCACTATTCCAATGTCTTGCAGTAATTGTCTGAACGCGACTCTGTTTCGGACTGCCTCTGACTCGACTGAAAGACTCGCTCGCTCTGACTGACTGACAGTCTCCTGACAGACTTCAGACTGAACGATATTTAGTCACCCCTCACCCACGAGGGCATCATGTGGCACAAGGCCGGTTTAACGTGGGATTTCCGAGCCCGTAGGCTCGGCCAAAAATATGCTCTTTGAACCCGTATAAACGTGTTCAGGGTCGGTTTACCTCCCCGAAAGAGACACCGCCTTTCGGCGAAGCCTCGTTCGGGTTCCTCCCCGCCCGAAGGCAGAGAGTTCAACCGATCAGACGGTCAGCCGGTCGCCTGACTTCGGACTGAACTCCCTGCTTCCTCTTGGGGCGCAGTATTTATTACGTATGGAATAGTCCATTATGTTATTATGGGTAAAGTCTCATAACAATTATCAGGCATGTAAATGACCTACACACACTTAGGAAATACACTATTATCCCTCCAGCTATGGGTTCATTAGTAAAACTTGCATCACTATAATATCATCTGGGAGGCAAGGGCAATGAAGAGGAGAAGCCAGAGCAGGGAGGGGAGGTTGAGGAATTGGGTCAGTTAAAATTACCTGCGAAGTCTAAAAAGCTAATTAACTTTTTTTTTTCCCGGTGTTTATAGATGGTACCTTTTAAACGGGGACGTTTATTCCTCTGAAGAGAGAAACGAACCAATGAGATGTGACTTCTCGTTTTGAGGAGAGAAAATGTTCTGGAACCAAAGATGCCGTGTTCCCTCAAAATGTAGGCGTTAATGGCTCTCCACAATTTCCTATTCTTTTCTCGCTCTTAACAACATGTGTTATTTCTATCCCTCCCAATCTCTGGTATGACATCTATTGAAACACCGGTTCCTGTAAGATCTCCTAATTTAAGCAACGTCAATCCTGGTCAGTACCTGGATGGGTGACCTCTTGGGAATACTAGCTGCTAGAAGCTTGGATGTGCGGATGGTGTAATAAAACGTTCGGAAGTGTTAATCGGAGAGTCAAGTTCCAATTCCCATTGTGTTCGTTATATTCACATACGCGAAAATACCCTTAAGAAATACACTCTTCTCTCCCCAGCTATGGGTTAATTAGTAAAACTTGTATCACTATATTGTTATCTAAAAAAAATCCTACAATCTAAAAATATTTTCTGGCTTTAAATAACCTGCAATGGTTTGATAAGCCTTAGAAAATGAGTCAATAGGCCAACCTTAAGATTCAGGTTCGAATCTCACCAAAGGTGATTTCCTAGAGATTTGATATTATCGGCCTGCGGGTGGTGACAATTCCAGCATGCGCCACTGTTGAGAAGTGTCTGAAAACCATACTCAAACCTTGTGAGTTAAATTGGGAAGACCAAATTGGCCGGAATCCCGTCGATAGTTGTGCTAGCTACTGGTCAAAAAGTCACGTTGACATCTGAATAGGAGCTTCTGAATAGGATCACAAACACTCGGCCACGATGACCGAGTGTTTGAGCATCCTGGTCTTGTTCAAAACTTAATCAACCAGATTATGTAGTCTCCCCTGTAACAACTTTTTGCTCAGCATATTTTTCATATAAACCACTATTTTGTTCTATAGCATTTCCAGAATCACGGTTGTCTTCAACAGGGATCAACGACCCACTCTAGCAGATGGATATACTTGGAAACGAATAAATAGCCATTATATATATATATATATATATATATATATATATATATATATGAAGAAAAATATACGGAAAAAAATCCTAATATGCAATTATGCTGTTTTAATGTTAATATAATGTCAACGTCGGACGTTTCGGTCTAATAGACCATCTTCAGGACATATTCATAAAACATAATTAACATTAGACTATATTTAATTCAACATGAAAAGACGATGGACATTAGAGTAAGACTAATCAAAACAGACAACTGAAATTTTTCAAAATCAGCGTTCCGTTTCAATATGATCACGTCGGCGTCACGCGGGCGATGTTGTGAAAACTTATTCCTAAAATAGAGTATTTTGAATGAAAAACGAAAAGAATTTTATTTTAATCTAAAACTTATATGTACGTTTGTCGAGCATTAATCTTGCTAGGGAAAAATTAAAGAAGCCGGGTCTAGTATTCACCGTGCGTGCGATTATGCCTGCCTCATAAATCCGTCTAAGATTTTTATTATGAATATATTTTAAAATCTTCACATTATATTAACATTAAAACAGCATAATTACATATTAGGATTTTTGTTTGTTTTTTCCGTATATTTTTCTTCATACTGTCGGATCTATATCCATATATTTGCTTACACACACACACACACATATATATATATTGTGAAATGCACAAGTTCCGATAATTATGTTTTTACGACATTTTTATGTTTATACGTTTTTTTATAGATACAACTAATTAAAGTAAATGCTCTGTTTATAATAAACAGTATTAATAACATTTATTGAATGTTCGAGAAATTTTCATAGAAGATATGCGTCCTCCGACAGGAATCGAACCTGTATCTTATACGGAACCGTCATATAGCCTGACGTGTCTTAACGGATTGGGCCACAGAGGAGCGTTTGGTTGGCAAGGTCGATTTTACTGTTTATATATATATATATATATATATATATATATATATATATATATATATATATATATATATATATATATATATATATATATATATATATATATATATATATATATATATATATATATATATATATATATATATATAATAATTTTTCACAGGAGAAAAGTAGACTTGTGGCAACAGAAACAAAGGAAAAAAAGCACTAGATTTATTTAAAGCCAGAAAATATTTTTAGATTGTAAAAATGGAGGGGAGATAATCAGAACGATTATTTGGAATAAGTTATTTTTTTCACCTTAATTGTCATTATTCAGTTCATTCAGCTGGAAAATAAGTATTTGCCTATCTTTGCTCTGGAAAAACAATCATCTTCTTTGAATGTGATGCGAAATTTCGCTATTAAAATTTATTTGATTGACAGGAACTTCATTAAGAATTTCTTTCTGAATTTGTCGTTTTGCTTAATTTTGAAGCCATTATGAATAATTTATGGGAAGCAGAAATTATAAAAACGATCATTTTCTATTATTTATTGCCCGTGATCGGTGTTTTAATCGGAAATCAAAAATTTCATTAATTCTAAAAGAATATCTGAAAAAGCGGGAAAATAACCCTCACTGTCGTCTGTTTAAACTGAAGCATTATTTTTTCTGATATTTTGTTAATATTTATTAATGTCAGGAAAACCTTTTCTATCATATTTCAGTAAGATTTTCATTTTCGAAAATTATGATTTATAATCATAACTTAGATATATATGAAAAAAGGGGCGAAACTTTGTAGTATTTTCTTGATTCCATCTGAAAACTTCGAACTTTACAAGCATACTTCTATGAAATTTTCACTTTCCAAAATTACAGCCTATTACCTATTAACTTTTGTCACTCGCTACGTGCATATGATATACAAAATGCGATAGCTGAGAAAAATTAATATGACAATAAACTGCATCTGGCAACAAGGCCTCTGATGGGATATTGTAGGTTTTGAGGAGTGCGGAATTGCCGTTGTTTCCAGGTCCTCCTTGACTCATTGGTAGCATCTGTTAGGGTCCCAGTTATGGATAAATAGCGAAAAAAAAATGATAAAAATACATTTAAATTATTCGGACTACTCTCTTCATATTTATCGTCATATTTATTACAACGTTTCGGCCGTTGTACGCTCCGGACTTCTTCAGGTGGTTGGAATGTCGAACTGAACCACAGTGAGCGAAATAAAGGGTTCAGTTCGACATTCCAAGAACCTGAAGAAGACCGGAGCGTACAACGGCCGAAACGTTGTAATAAATATGGCGACAAAGATGAACCAATAGTCCGAATAATGTAAATAGTATACATAATACCTCATCTCAGAAATATAGACAGATATAAAAATACAACTTCATAGTAAAACTACCAACAATGTTTATTCATAGCAGAATGACTAGCAGTACATTTTGTAGCAGAATGACCAACAGTATATTTCATCTGTAGTTGAAGACATGCAAAATACATTTAGTTGAAGCTATAAAATTGTATTAAACTATTTCGATTTCGGCATTAAATAACGCATAGAGATTGATATGCCACTAAACACAATCAACCAAACTGTTGCATACACCCCCACCTTGCGAGGCTGGTCTCATTTGGTTCGCCAATGAAAAGACACCAACATGGAGAATTTTAACTTAACTATTTCATTAATATTGGCATATACTAACTATCCAGTGGAGGGTCGTTTCCCTTCGCAGGGAGACGTTTCAGAAACGAAAGAGAACACATCTACATTGCTTGGACGTGTAAGAACCAACTCTCTGAGAAATCTTTCTCTATCTATCATTCCTACACTCGCTCAACTAATCAAAATCGACTTCCTTATTTTGGCTTGCATCTGACCGTGAAGGTCAACCTCCATGACTCGCAGCTGAGAAACAATTCCCCCTAAAAATAATAGTCTGCTACACTATTATTTAACAAAACAACCAACATGGAAGAACTCTTTAATGACATTAATCCATATAATATCCTACAATTTCTTAAAGAAATCAAGTTATATTCCAAAATATAACTTCAAAAAAGCTACACCATAAAACATACATATAACCGCCTCTAGTAATTCTGTCCACACAAACTTGTATATTCACAAAATCTGAGTATCATTTACCATGTATTCAATTGTGAAAGCAGAATAACATCATATATTTTTATTATTCAAAGCTCCAAAGAAAATTACATTTCGGCGTTAAATGACCCATAATGAGTTGATACCCCGTTAAACAAACCAGACAAGAAACAAATTAAAATTTAAATTAATCATGTTATTTAGCAGAGAAAACAATACGTTTTTACCGAATTTAGCACACTAGTATTCTTATATCTCTCTATATAAAAGGCAGGATGTGTGTGTGTGTGCGTGTGTGTGTGTGTGTGTGTAACGAATGCACGGCCGCAATTTTCGACGGATTTGCACCAAAATTTACATGCACATGTTCAAAGTTAGCGGGAAGGCCAACACCGACTTTGCATTTCTCAACTCCCATCAACAGTGGAAATGACTGACATGAATGTTAACTAGCATGCATCGATAGCTGCATTTGTTACAAGTAGTAAAAATTTAAATCTGCGTGGCACTTTACTCCAATTGGCTCATTCGCTTGCTTAAACTCAACGTTGATTCTGATTCCGCAGAACTGGGCCGGGTGTGAAAAAGTATTTGTTGTTAACATTCTTTTTTCATTCTGTTTTTCCAATTACGAGTTCTTTTTTAAAGCTGATTGTTTTGTGTTCATTTTGTTTAGTTCTTTTTTCGTAACAGATTTAATATTTAGTATAGAGCTTAGAAAAAATTGGCAGTGTGAGATAGGCAAGAAGTAAGGCATGTAGCAACATCAGCACGGCAAAGGGCACTCCTTTAAAGGCAAGGAAGGACAAAAATATTTTAAGTCAAGTGATAGCGATTACTGTATGAGTCGTACGATTTTTTAATCAAGCACGGGCAACGCCGGGCCATGTTGCTAGTAAGTTTATATAACTACCATCGTCTCCGTGTACGATCACGATGCGGCTTCTAAAGCGATTACATGCGTTGATCGGGAGCTCTTTCCCGACAGCAGCTAAACTTGGTAATGTTGGCAAGTTTGTTGTCCTCTCGCTCAGTGACACCTCAGACATTTTAGATTTTGAATCAGGAGATTTAGGGGATCAAACGTTATTGGTAACATTATCGTGAAAATGTTCGGTCAGCCATTCCTGGGTCTTAAAACGGCATGGTGGAGTAATGGATAGCAGCTTGGATTGAGGAATCGGAGAGCCGAGTTCGAATTCCAGTCGAATCCATTACATTTACATACGTGCTAATACCCTTGGGAAAGGTATGAACCCTCTTCGTCTC